AATTTTACATGAAAAAATATGGTGCCTTCTTGTGAAATGTATCTAATTATTGTGTTGAATTAGAATATATTACTATATTATTTTTTTGTTTTATTGGAATATGGAGCTTTTGGTCATCTTATGAAAGACAGCGTTCCTATTACTTCTTTGCTTTTATCCCTTTTTTCTATAGCTCAACAGGCTGTGTTGTCTCCTTCATCGTCCAAGTCCCTCTCCCCTCTTTGTGGTGTTCCGCTGTTGCACAGATCGCACATGTTATTCGACGCTAGATAGTGAATGGATGTCCGCTGACCAAACCACAGTAACCTTATGTAGCTAATTGACTCATTGTCGCAAGAATGTGACAAATTATGGTGTTTGATTCTATTTGAAATAGGTATGTTCAGAAGATATCATCCGTTATTAAACGTTTATATTATTTTTTATATATATATTCTCCAGTAATTTTATTGTATTTGTTAGGTTGGTCTGTTGTGTTCAGCTAAATCTACATTTTAAGTTTTTCACAGATTTCGCTAAAAAAAAAAAAAAAATATAAAGCAGCATTTCATCAGGCTCATGTGTAAATAATGATTAGCGCTTTAGTTTTTTGAGATTGTTGGAGAGGTTTTTTTGTGTTTTTTAGTTGGTTGTTTTTTTTTATGTGTGTTTGTGTAGCCTGTTGTTGATTGTTTGTATGCTGGCTGTGATACGCGTTTTGTGGGTCCTGTGATGTAGGATGCAGAGTCAGTATGTTCGTTTCTGCTTCTGCAGGTTTGGTGCTATAGGTCATGCATAGTCTGTTCATGTGGGCATGAGTCTTTGATTACAGTCAGTGGAATTAGAAAGCTAAAAGCTCATTTCCATCATTCTCACAAATGCCTGTCTTCTCACTCACTGTTATGGGATCAAAGTTCACCTGGTAGTCTCCTTGAGTGTTCTGGAAACACCTCAGGAATGTTCTCCTTTGCTGCTCAATAGAAAGCTGTTAAACTATTTAGCACAAGCTGTGAAAGTTCTGTATTCATCTTGTTGTGGAAGTGGCCAGGAAGTCTGTGTGGCCACCACTTGATCCAGCATCGCAGTTCGCTTTAAATTACCTGGAGAAAAATGCAGCAATATCCAACCCAAGGTCTGAAAAAAAATCTTGGGGACTGTGGGATGTTGCCCGCTGCATAATGAGGTTCAGCTGATTGAGCCCATACCGGCAGTGATTGTAGTGCGCACTACTGTGAACACATCCTCACTTTCCGCTGAAGCTCCAACCTTTAGCTCGCCTCATCACCGGGCTGGCACCGTCCCCATAGGCTTGGGGCCGATAGTTTGCCCCTGTTGTCCATCGTGAGATAGGCCAGCCTCTCGCATCAGCGCGGTGGGCAACTGTGTAAGCATTTGCATTCTTAAGAGGGAATGAACTCAAAAAAACGCTCCCTGGACGTTGCTTATGCGGGTCAATGTAGCGTAGCCCAAGCACTAACTGGGGCAGTGGGTGGACAATGTCAGTTCTCTCCAACCCGCCTGAATAGATAAATAATACTGGCATTCTTAACTCCCTCCAGAATGTAGTCTTTAAGTCTTTTACAAACTGATAACATGCAGTCCAAAAGTTCATTTTGCACCGTCTTTGAGGTGCCTTTGAAAACGGTAGCCGTTTTAAGGTGCTCCTCCAACACGCTATCTAACCAGAAGATTAACTAAACCCCAAAAAACGCCGGGGTTGTCCGATGTGTCAGTCTCGTCGTGGCCACGCAAAGCTAGGTCAAAGCCCCCACAAAATGTCACACAATCAATTATTTCAGACAAGACGTGCCTATTCTTGTCCACTTCTTCATTGTGTTTTTTCAATGAGACCTTGTACCCTTGATCTAGTTGCGCGGCTATGTTAGCTTTGCCTAGCAAATCCACTGTTATGCTATGTTAGCTTTGCCTAGCATAGCTAGCTTGAAGGTACTTGTCATATGTAACTTCGTGCACTCGTGCTTTTTAATTTTTTCGGACAAATGCTTCATATCGTTCACCCCCGTCACAGTCCACGGGCACATCGTATCTGTCCCCGGCTGTTTGAAGAGCAAGCATGGGAAACAAGACAGAATTCACCTGTTTGCATCCAGTTAGCCATGCCTTTCTGGTGTACCAGCTACGTGAGAAGCCTCGTTGATAGGTTTTGTTTTTTTCACGAGCTTGCTGCGATATATTCAAATCGGGTTGGTCCGGTCCAAGATCTTTTAGCAACTGTTTATCTCCAAAACTTCTCCTTTCGAAAGGATTGGAGATTAGCTCTTGAACTGAATTGGGTGGGGACAGAGGTCCGGAGACTCCACCTGCACACGAAGCCATCCTCTGCTCTAGTGCGTCACCCGGATACGAGTCACTGTCCAAACTACTCACAGATTGGACAAGGCGCTGACATTGGCGCCCGGTCATAATCAGATTTGACGACGCTGATTGGCTGAAATTATGTTTTGCAACAGTCAGCTGCTAGTGGCTGCTGCTGCACTGGATGAAGGCTGATTTCTTAGCGCCCAGGCGAGAGAGGGTAATGATGTTGATACATGGGCAAGGCCAGGCAGGCAGGAAACATGTGACTTATCAGTAACTTTAGACATCGTAACACAATTTTAAACGAGATTATACATTTTACTGATACAAATTATATAATATTTACCTTTTTTATTAAAAATAAAAATAAAAAAATAATTTTTATTTTTATTTTTATTTTTTTTAATATATATATTTTTTTATGTGGGAAGAGGTGGGGCGGCGCCCCTAGCGCCCCTATGGATCGGCCGCCACTGTCCAGAAGTAACAGGAAATAAATGTTGAACTACAATTTAAGGCCAAATAAAAATGTTTTGGCCACCATGGCAAATGCTGGTAGGGCTGCTCATGTCATCTCTTAAAGATTTTTTGCTAGAAACATCCAGCCTGTTGAGCGCAGGCAGGTGACAATATTGCCACCTGTACTGAAGACCCTCTCTGAAGAGGAACTTGTGGCAGTGCTGCCACATATGACACAGGAAAACAAGAAAAGACTCTGAACCCTTTCTTTGCCATTATATAAAAATAGTGTTGCTAGAAAAGTAAAAAACATTATCCATTTACTTTGAAAACATAAATTTATTGGAGAAAAAAATGTGAACAATATGTTTAACAGTTGATTACCCTGAACTTTAAGTATAATTTTAAAAAAAAAGTAATAATAATAATAAAAACATAATCGTTTTATTTCAATTACTTTGTTTTCGTAATCGTTGTACGCCGTAATCGCGATTTAAAATACGATTAATTGAGCAGCCCTAGCGTGTACCAAGGTCAAAGGACGAAATACCAAAACCATATCTTGACACCAGAAGTATTGAGTGTTGTAACTGAAGTCAAGTATACAGTGCTTGCTTAGAAATGAGGGACAGGTCATAATGTAGGGTTTGATAGTCTGATTCAAAGTCAAAAAACGTTTACATTTTTCATCTTTAAAGAATTCTGGTTTGACTGATCGTGTCTAAAGTAGCGACTTTGATTGGATTTTTGACATTTGATTTAAAAAGAGTAGATGTGTGTGGATTGTCTTTCCAGATGTATTTGAATACACCATTTACTTATAAATAAAGGGACAGTTTGGATTGTTTGACTTTTTCAGGTGTGATACGTCACATTGAAATGACAGCAATCACTCCAGCATTTAGCCACATCCCCTTCTCTTTAACTGGATGTCAGGCACAATAGCGTCCTCTTCAGTCTCCCCCCTGACATCGTGAGTGTTTTGCAGCTAAAAACATGAACCTGAAGCCCACAGAGAAGCTTCCATGATGGGAGGAGTCGGAGATAGAGAGGCCCAACGGGAGGTGTCAGTGCTGCTGGGCAGGGATGAAGCCGTTAGCTCCCACTAGGATGTCACAGGATGTCCTGATCCTGGAGGTTTCTGGTCACCGGGGGTCAGACTCTGCACACATTACACCTCCAAGACAAACCCCCTCCCCATGCATCAGAGTGTGGACAGATGAATGAATAAGGAGGAGAAATAGAAAAAAAAGTTCTTTCAAAAGATGAGAGTGAGCGATGTCCTCAAATGACTTGATATGTTCTTGTCAGTCTTAATCTCTGGGTTTTGTGGAGGAGCGGGTGGGAGGGAGGAGGGGGTGTGGGGGGTGCACTGTAATCTCCTTCACAAGCAAACGGACAGAGCATTCACTTCCACAGTCATCTCCAATCCACTTCATAAGAGCGCGTTATTTTGCACACATCTCCTTTTCTTTCAGCATGCACTTGAAAAGACCAGACAGAAAAGGGTGATTCACGTCCTTCTTTTCTCTCTTCTCCCCTTTCTCTCATTTACATCAGCCATTATCTGGGTATATTGAAAGCGGCGAGATAAAGAGAGAGAAAAACAAGTGCCAGGAGAAGAGGAAGAGAAGAACAATAAAAGCAGGCAGAGGAGGCGCAGCGACGTTTGAATCAATTACATCCTAAAGAATCTTTCATTTGCATCCGTATCTGTTCAAAACCTGAACAAATGCCAGATGCCTTTGTGTCCAGTTATTTATAGTGGGTTGTTTTTTCCCGTTCGTAATTGTGCAGGAAATATCACATTTGCATAGAGTGATTATTGTTGATTGTTTATCTAGTCGTCAGGACGATTCAATATTCCAAGGCTGACAGGTTGTCAAGTACTTAAAACTCATTTATTTGGGGGGAAATTTGCATGTAATTTGGCGGTAATGAGAGGGATGTCTGTGGTCATGGATTAGATGCTGCAGGGAAATTCTGGGCTGACTGGCATTCCTCCACTTGAAACACACGCTTTATCCTGGGCTCGGCTGCCGGGGTGATGCTAACGCTACCTAGCGCTGCACACCCAAACAACAGAGGATTGTGTACAGACGCTTGGCATAGCTGTGGACTGAATAACAGAAGCAGGAGCGAGCCAGCGCTAAACAGGAAGGATTGTGTTCTCCGATGTTCTGTCACCCTGCAGGCCCGCTGTCTGAGGAGGAGAAAAACGAGCTTGTAAACAGATTAGTTACAGTGTTTCTTCAGCACAGCAGATGCTAACTTGTGTTGCCCAAGCATATATTTTCATATACTGTAACAGCTAACAAAAGGCAAATAACACAGAGGTTCAGATACTGAATAAAGCTAATAACAGCAGGTGAGAAAAATGAAAGAATGACCTATTGTGGTGCACATTCAGTTTATAATACTATGTGAGGTCACTATTAATCGTACTGGACAAATAAAATGTTTAAAAATAAAAGGGAAAGGCAAAGTTCATGCCTTTTATGTTTCTAGACTTTTCTCTTAAACACATGCAGGAAGGGTTGAGTTTCAATTACAGTCAACAAAAAAACTTTAAATAGTACCAATGTTAATCTCTTAAGTAGCTTAATGACATTGTTGACTATATTAAAAATGTAAATCATGAATCAGCCGTACATTAATATAGAATTACATCAGAAAACAGAGAGGATATTTCCCCAAAAGGCACTGAAATGTATAAATTCATTACAAATAAAGCCCTGTTTCTTATATATTTCATACATTCTCTCTACAGTTTAGGTAAACGATTGACAATGCTAATGAAAAACTAAAAACCTTATCCTACTTTCCCGAATTGCAATCATTCCCAGCTTGTATGGATAAGTTGACGTCCCCATTCCCATGAACCAAAGTGGGGTTATTTAATAAAGAGTTATAGCATTTAACAGAATCAATCTTTTTCCAGCTGGAAGGACAGATAACCACCGTTCCAACAGAAAAACAAGCACTTTATACAGGAAAAACCCAAAAGGGGGAGGTCTCAGCTAGGGAATTTACGTTACAGGCTATTCAAATGTTGGCCAGACGGGCGAAACTTGAATATATGGTAATATCAAACCTAAGATCCATATGATAATTGCCTGACAATGGTCAACCCTTCTGTTTGAGAACATTTAGTAGCTTGGCGTGAATTTAAACGGAAAAGAAAGTTAAAGTGACGTAGGCCTATATATAATTAAATGAGACTAATGATATGTTTCTACGATACAAAGTACTGGTAGCTTGTTTGTTTGTTTATTCCATATTCCAACAGTCTATTTCACCTGTCACACAGAAGTTCTGAACCTTGAAAGGACTGTCGGAAGAGATATGAGCCTAACACCACACAACTTTGAGCATGTGTTAAAACATTCAACGTGTTTTACCTTGAGCCCAAGGTCATCTTCAAAAGGAAGACTCCGCTCTCAGTTCTCCGCTCACAGACTCACTCGTAGAGACACGGCAACAAAAGCAACTCCCGCCTCTGTGAATCGCTCAAAGTCACCTCCGCTGCAAGGTTAAACGCTCACTGTATCCCCTCTTAAATATAGATCTGTCCCTGAGTCAGGGCCTCTGTGAATGTGAGCCACTTCTACTGTATCCGTGTGTGTGCCACTCTCATTCTCTAATGTGCTTATATCTCTATGTGAGTGAGTGTGCATGTGTGACTTTTTCAAAAAGGGTGAGTGAGGATAATCGGCCCTGGCGCTCCGGACTAAAAGGTCGGGTCAGAGTTTTAAAGAGAAGCTATGTATTTCCCATCCCTGGATAACGGCGATGAAGTGGGCCCTTGTGATTCAACCTGAGAGCATGAAAAGGGCCTCAGAGGGGCCCTGCCATCGCCGGCCCCTCTCTTTATTGTCCTGCCTGAGCTCTCTTTCCCCGAGTGGTGGAGGGCTCTCAGTGCTTTACCTACCCAGAAGCCACTCTGCTGCATGAAAAGCGCAGGTAATGTCCTGTTCAGCCTGCAGCATTTCAAAGAAGCTACGTGTGTGTCGGAGTGTGTGTGAAACCTGATACAGGAGACTGTTATTTTAGAGAAATTCCTGACTGGTTTAACCTGAGTAGTCATCGGTTAATCAGCTCTGATGAAAATTATTTAGTGTCTAACTCTTTGTCTAAAGATCAAATTACTTTCTTATTTTACACGTAAAGGTAATAATCTCATAGCAGGACGTCGCTTTAAAGCTGCACGTTTAGTAGTTTGATAGATTATTATTTCGTTCTTTAGAATTAACTTTTTCAGTTGAATTAGGTTGGAAATATGTTTCATTTTAAGTGATGCCATTCAGGTTACATGTCAGCCTCGTTAAATGGTTGTTTAAAGGGAGAAGCTTTGTTCAGTTTCAGGAAATAACATTATAATAACTGTAGTTTATTTGTACAAGAATTACAATCCAAAGTGCTTCACACAACAGAATTTACATCTCATAAAATAGTCACATACAATTACCAGTAAAAGATATAAGAATAGACATAAAATCAACATAGACATTGAATGTAAAATAGATTAAATGAATGATTCACATTGTGATGACCCTTGGAAATAGTGGCAGTGTTGGGATGATATTAATAATATAACACTTAGTATGGTGTCAGATGTCCTCTCTTTTTAATCCACTCCCAGTTTGTAATATGCAAGTGAAGGTGTGGCGTTTAAAGAAGGACTGAATTAATTACATAGAAAACAAAGCACAACAATGCTATTTTTAATCAACCAGATCAATATATTCCAAAAAATAAAAGCAACTTGCCTCTAATTGTCAAAAAGGAGAATATATATTAGTTTACAGAAGAGAAAACAGAATAATACACTTCTGTTTATCTTATATGCCAGTATAGTTCCAGGCCTCTGTGTGTTCGCCATGCAACTGTTGCTAATAATATAATCCGGCTGCCATGTGCGCTTGTTCCTTCAATAACACTGAGGAATTGTTTGAGTTGGCTTTATCTGACTGTCATCCGGTCAATCCAACACCTCATCTCAGCACCAGGAGCTGTCCACAGCTAATCACCATAGGCCTTTGAATGGGTTTAACACTGTTATACTGTATTTAACTTCCAAAATAAACCCGCAAATATTTTTTAGATATCTGTTCTTTATAAATAGTGATCATTGTCAGTTTCAGTTTCCCTTTCTTGTCCTGTTTTGGCTATCTGTGCTCTCGTGGGACTCAGGGAGAAAGTCAGTAAATGTTGCTAGCAGTCCGTCTTGTCAGCATTACAGCGATATTAATTCCTATTCGCTGTACAGTGTGTTGACAGCAGAGACAGCAGAATATGTACAAAGTTGACATGGCTGACATGGTGACAGGCTGACAGAAAAAATAATTTCTACTGATGATCTATATATAAGTAGATCTATAAAGAGTGTGTACCCCATTAGTTTTTTCCCTCTTATTTTCTGGGTTCTATTTCTCTTGTATTTCACCACACCTCCCCCCCGGCTGCCTGCCTCTGTGCCTGTGTCTGGGAGTTGGCTGGGGCAGAAATAAACCACAGTAATGGCTTTGCTTTGCTGCTAATCTTGTCATAAGAAGGTGCGGCCCTGAGAGGATAGCTCCTCGCGTGTGATATCCTAATTTAAACATCAAAAGATTCCATCATTAGGAAGCGTGCGTCCTAGCCCCAGTTTTCAAGGGAAATATTACATCTTCCTGCCGCAAAAGTGTAATGCAGGAAGACATTTTCTGTCAAAGCACACACACATAAACCTCACCGGACTTGATGTTTGTGCACTTGAAGAAAAACATCATCATTAGCAGCTTTTCTCTTGTGATAGACGGAGCGATGGCTTTTGTGTCGCAGCCTATCTCTGATGATAGCCTTCATTTCTGCTTGTCTTTTGAGATTTCAGACGGGGACGGGATTAGTGGGATCCGGCCCCCCGTCCGACAGCCCCTCTGGTGGGTCTCCCTAAGCTCCAGAGCCATCACGCTGCATCTGATGCATGTTGGGAATGCAAGGAAGCACCACACCTGGTTAATACTGTGTGTGTGTGTGTGTGTGTGTGTGTGTGTGTGTGTGCGGCCTAGCATTACTATACTTGTGGGGATCTAAATCTGTTTACACAGTCACGTGTGGGGACTCTCTTCCCTTATGGGGTTGTCCCCATAAGGGAAGAGAGTCCCCACACGTGACTGTGTAAACAGATTTAGATCCCCACAAGTATAGTAATGCTAGGCCGCACACACACACACACACACACANGTTTGAGAAACCGGCTCGAGATACACTTTTTGTTATATTCCATGGAATGCTCTTAACATCCCGATAGCAATGAATATGTTAAAGGTGGGGTAGGTAATATTGGAGGAACCAGCTTGAGTGCGCTAGAATTTGAAAATACACAACCGGAGAAAATCTGCCACTTCCTTACAGAGCCCCTCCTCCAACACACACCAACGCGCACATGACCAATGAGGGCACGAGATAAGTTTGCGCACAGATGGAAGGCTGACAGGCAGGTAGGCCATCCAGTTATTTTAGCCGGGCCGACTAAAATGATTGATCGTGCTTTTTACAGTACTACGGCTTCCAGAGATGAATTTTTTTAATGTATTTTTTGTCAAAGCACTTCAGATATTCATTGCTATCGGGATGTTAAGAGCATTCCATGGAATATAACAAAAAGTGTATCTCGAGCCGGTTTCTCAAACTTACCTACCCCGCTTTTAATTGTAAGGTTATAACTGCTGCTCTGTGCAAGAGAACACATATGATTGATATTGATATCCTCTAAAACAAGTTGCTCTCAGTGATGTTCAGGATACCAGTCTTATACTTGCACTCTGCCTAAACTCATAAGCCACAAAAAAGTAAAAGGAGCATCAACATTTCTTATTTCTAAACCTGTCTTATCCTAGTGAAAACCCTTTTTTACATAATGGTACTATTACAGACACAAAATCTACATTTATAACTTGTTCTTTTCAAAGTTTGTTCGTTTCAAAGTTTGATTATTGTTTCACTGCAAGCTTTTTTCATGCCAAAACCACACTTCTCTTGGCCCACTGTCACTCACTTTGGATCCAAAAAAGCAAATAGTGTTAGATTTTTTTGCCAGCAGATAGACATTGGAACAAAACGCTGAGTTAATATAAAAGATCAAAGCAAAGTTAATGTAGAGGTGGAGTTATTAATCATGTATTTACACAGATCATGTGTCGTTTAAACATGTGTGTTTGTATGTATTTGGTATTCCTTTAGAGTAGTTTGGTAACCTTATGTCACAGGAATCAGGATGATAGTGTCGAACAAATACAGTAAATGAAACAAATTCTCCTGCAAGACAACAGAGGGAGGGAAAGCAAGTGATGTCAAATGAGGTGTGACATTGTTCTCATATACTGTTTACTGTTGTGACTTTGTTTCATCGATTTGTCATTCCCACCTCCCTTATTCTTGTTTCAAGAGGAAATTCAAAGTAAAGTTGAAGCAGAAATTTAACAAAGAGCCTCTCCACAACCTCCACCCCTGCTGCCACCAAACCACTACCATTAAAACCCCGTTTTTAAACCTCAATATGGAATTCCAGAAAGGACGCCCATTGAAGTTGAAGCAAAACTGTTAACAAGATTGGTCCAGTGTGTGTCGCCTGCCACGTCGTTCTCTGTTTGCCAGCTTCAATTAGCCATAACACTCAGCCTTAATCCTCATTGCAATTAAAAATTCTAATTAGAATTGGAAAAACAAATCCAGACACAGAGAGAAGAGGAAGAGGGCTCGGTAAATATTGGTCTACCACAGTGTCAACACTCTGAGTCAAAATAGGAGGACATAGCGTACACATTTAAGGTGTACAATAGCTGGGGAATGATCTCGGAATTTAAAATGCCTGATGCATATGCAATAGCCATTAGCATCATAATGTTGGATAAATAAGGGTACATTGATTTCCTAAATGAAGTAATTGGATAAGGATGATTGCATTAGCATATTACAGATAGCGGAGCAATCACTGCAAAATTCATTTTCATCTCATTATCTGCCATTGACAACTAATCTGATAAAGAAAGTGAATACTTGCACTTTCTTATTGCTGTTTTTTTAACACTATGAAGCTGGGGTTTTGTTGAAAAAAGGGACAGTCCTTATATACAGTCTGTAGAAAGTGTATATAGAAAAGCCTACAATGCTAGTTTAAAAGCGTTTGTTCTCTAAAATGACATTTACCTCATGTAGCTCCTGGCTATACTAATAGTTTTTGTGTAAATAGTCCATATTTTGAGATATCCATGTATGAGATATTTGCCTCAGATAGCAGCGTGTGCAACGGGAGAGACTGTCCTTATTATTCTGAAATATTCAGAAACCTCACAGTTTTCTTTTGGCAAAAAAACTTTAAACGAAAGTTGTTGACAAAAGCCATCGTCTAGTGGGATTCCCCTAGAGACATACTGCAGGCCAGCAACTGTGTTTTGGTATAGAGCTTCTTCAGAAACTGAATTCAACATATGAATATTAATAGGTTATCACATTCATTACCTTTGTCCTTGTCCTCTTGACTATCTTGGGATGTTCCATTGGACATTGTTCAAGCAATGTAGGCTAACAGTAGCCAGGTGCATCAACATAATACAGTTGTATATTCCCTGCAGTTCAAGTTGCTTGGCCTCATACTACAAGGCTATACTTTGGATTTTGCTTTGACTCCCAAGAAATTTTTTAACATAATACAACCTCTGCCAAAGAGATATTTGTTCTATATCTCTATTTGCCTCCCTGCTTGTCTGGCAACAGTATTAGAGGAAAATGACTGGCCCAATTGTTCATAAACCCTGTAATTTTGGAACAGAACTGAATAGACGGGCTGTATGACAGTGTGCTTGATAATGTTATATACTTTGAAAAAGCCTATTATTTGGATGAAATTATTATATTAAAACTAACCTTCTGACAAAAGAAGGCCATTGTTTGAGTGATCAGATTACTTGACTGAAAACACAGTGTGCATGAAATGACTTAAACTATACATACTTATCTGCAAAATGCAAAAGGGAACCCACATTATTAAGCTATGAAGAAAACACAACACTACAGTGGTATCAGTTGTCAAAATCAAAGCCCATCTGCTTCAAAGCTCTCTTGTTCTTATAAACTTTCATAGTTGGGGCCTAAGAAAGTGTCTGTTTTCTATATTTATCCCAGATGAATATCAGTTTGTCTGCTCTCCAAGCAGGCACCACAGTTCAATATCCTGCTGTGTGTTAAGGGACGAGGGAGGGAACACAAAAGAACAATGAGGGAGATAAAGGCATACATTCCTCGCAATGGGCACAAACACACATATTCAGATACAAGCAGCCCCTTACAAACACACAATGATATACACCAGAGACACGCAGATGAAACGCTTGGAGGAAAAAAAGCCTTATTATTAAAGGAAAAAGAGGAAGAGAAAAAAAAAGGATGGGAAAAAAATAATAAAATGCAGTGAAAGAGTCAGAGTCAACCGCAACTTCAGAGCTTTAAACATGCCAGGGTTAGAGCCTGGCTGCTGGGGGAACGTGTCAAAGTGAGGCCCCTGTCTGAGGAGATTTAGGCCTCAGCCAGAGATGAAACGAAGCCTAACCTCAACACAGAGCCTTGCGGTCTTCTGCCTCACTCTCTGTGTGTGTGTGTGTGTGTGTGTGTGTGTGTGTGTGTGTGTGTGTGTGTGTGTGTGTGTGTGTGTGTGTGTGTGTGTGTGTGTGTTTTACACATTTTTCTCCGGGAGACTATCGTAATGTGTACTTGCGCGTGTGAGTCCATGTGCATGTACCAATCCTTTTGTGTGGATATATGAATGTGTCCTCAAGCATGTGTGTCTGTGTATGGATTCTTTCCATGTGTGTGTGTGTGAATTGCCCGGCATGAGCGCTGTGTGAGTGTGTGTCTCACCACACTTCCCTCCCTCAGATCCCTCAGCTTGGTTCTGCGGTCCAGATTTCATTAGCAGTCCTCTGGCTTCCCATCCGCCATCTGAATCTAATACTTTGGCTTCCTTTGACATGCATCTGACTAATGAACGTCAATATTTTGGTTAAAGTGGGTGGGATGTAAAGACAGAGCCCTGGTTGGGGTGAGAAGAGCACAAGAGTGATGAAAGGAGTGTGCCTTTGTATTTGTGCCTTAAATGAAAGGTGTTTTTGTAGAAGGTAATTTTCAATCTTGCCAATGGCAATGGCCAACGCAAGTTACTGCTGCCTTTATTTGTCAGGGCTTTAATTGAAATTCCAGCAAAAGTTTTGCAAAAGTTTGTCAAAAGAATGCTTACAAATTAAAATGGTTAAAATACCAAACTGCTCTTCAATGTGAGAAAAAACGTGGTCTTTATATCTGCAAAGGAAACCTCATTGCAAATAGGTTGCATTTGGAAGACGCTTGTATTCCTTTTTAGAAAATGTGTTGAATAAGAAAAGAGAAATGCATGATCCAAATGGAACTGTAATGAGATGGTTGATTGGTAAAATGCTTTGCAGTAGAATAAATAAAAAGGGCTTCAAGTTTTGTATGAGATTACAATAAGATTTTTCAATAATGGACAATGTGACAGCCCTGGATCTTTTTCACTGTTTACACCTAAGGCACATAAAATGTTTCATTGGCACGTGAGGCACAACATTGGTCAATACGGATGGAATATACTAGTGATGTGTCGGTCACGAATGAGCCGGCTCTTTTAAGGGAACGACAGGAGCCGGCTCACGCCCGCGAATGAGACGTTTTATATATATTTTTATATATATTTTTTACAAGACAGAAAGATATGATGATCTCCGCGCTACGGGTGCTCCGTGCATGCATGCAGTGACATGTAATATCCAAGGATTAGAGACGGTTGGATACTGCTGTTTTGAGCGTTGCAATATATTTATTTTCACTATGTTATTTATTTATGATTATCTTTAGCCTCAGCAAAGATTTGATGTCAGCTTTTCTGTCTTTTTTTCTTTAGCTAATACTGAAATAGAGCCCTGCTGTTTTGTTAGGGCTTCTAAATACAATTTTAAAACGTCGATACAGAGCTGTCCTTTTTTTTAAATGTCTATGCTTAAGTTTTAGGTGTTGCTATCTGCTTTGTGTTTGTGGTTCTACAAGCAAGTCAGTGCATTCATTAAGTTGGTATCAGAGAGTTACAAGGGTCTGTAAATGCAATGAAAACAATTGGCCACAGCAAATCATTTATATTAAAAACGTAATTTTTACTTTTGAATACTTCAGTACAAAGGATGTATTGAATAAT